AGGCCTCAGAAACAAAGAAATGCAGGCCATTCATGCACCGCATAACTCAGGAGAAATAGCCAAACTTTTTAAAAGTAGGTTGATGAACTCCAAAACACCCTATCCGAAAATAATATACTTAGACGGCATTGCTTACGAAAATAATGAGGCGATATGTGAACTGTTTAGCAAGCACTTCGCCAGATTATACACCTTAGAGAACGATGAAGTCGTGGATTTCCCACGTAAAACAGACGAATGTTTAAGTGACATAATTTTCACCACACATGAGATCGATAAAGCTGTCGCAAATCTTAAGCTTAGTAACACTACTGGCCCAGACGGTATATCTTCCGTTCTGCTGAAAAAAGGTGGTAATGACATGAGTTTACTCTTACTCAAGTTATACTCAATTTCATTAAGCGATGGGACATACCCTAACTGCTGGAAGAAGTCTTATATTGTACCTATCCATAAATACGGGCCTATAGCTGATATCAACAACTACCGCCCCATCAACATCACGTCTGTAGTTTCACGTGTAATGGAAAAGATAGTTAAGACTCAAATCATTCAGTACTTGCTGTCAAATGACCTACTATCCCCATCCCAATACGGTTTCTTAAGTAGAAGGTCGTGCATTACTTGCCACTTAGATTATTTTGACTACATTACACAAAGCATTGATAATGGGCGTTCGGTAACAACATTGTTTCTTGACGTTAGCAAGGCCTTCGATAAAGTCCCACATATCAGACTCCTAACAAAACTCCAATCCTACGGAATAACCGGAAATCTTCACAAATGGATAAGTTCTTTTCTCACAGAAAGAGAGCAATTAGTCAAAATCAACCACCAGTTGTCTTCCTCAAAGCCGATAACCAGTGGTGTAATACAAGGTAGTGTTCTTGGCCCTATTCTATTCCTCTTATTTATAAATGACATAGTCTCTGTAATCAAGTATGGCAAGCCATACCTTTTTGCAGATGATCTCAAGATAGTATATGATTATGGGTACGGTGATATGAGCGTCGAAAGCAAGATCCAACAAGACTTAAATGATCTAGGCGATTGGAGCGAAAAGTGGCAACTGACTTTCAACCCAGACAAGTGCGGTATAACCCACCTTGGACGCTGGAAACCGATAATGTGCCTATATATGTACGGTAAGCTCCTCTCAAAACTGAACACAGTCACAGATCTCGGGATAACATACTCAGATTTATCCTTTTCCGATCATGCAAATAAGGTTGTATCTGACTGTAAACGACTTATTGGTGCATAAAATCGGTTTGCCACTTCGACCAGTGTTGGACATGTGTAATTCCCCATATCACGCAACAGCGAAATGGCTAGTGAAGCTCCTAAAGCCTCTGCATAATGAAGTGGTAAAACACAGCGTAAACGGCAGTTTTGAATTTGTTGAAAAAATGAGAGATCCTAATGTGAGGGACAAGTTTATGATATCTTTTGATGTATCCTCATTGTTCACCAATGTACCGTTAATGGAGACAGTGCATTTTATATGTGAAGAGATTACTACACGAAACATAGATATCGGGATTTCTGTAACCACCTTGAAGGAACTTATTTTAAGATGTACAATGAATGTTCATTTCTTATTCAATAAGGTATATTACAGACAAATTGATGGTGTGGCTACGGGCTCCCCATTAGGTCCGATCCTAGCTGATTTTTTCTTCGCTATATTAGAGAATGGACCACTGAAAGGAGTAATTAATTACATGGATTTCTATTGTCGATATATGGATGATACATTTGTGGTTATGAAAGATGAGAATAATGGAATGAACATCCTTGACAAGTTTAATGATGCACATTTAGCGATAAACTTTACCATGGAGAAAGAAAGTAATGACAGTATCTCATTCCTAGACGTCTTCGTGGTAAGGAGAGAAGATGGCACACTAAGAAGTGTGTATTGGAAGCCTACAACAACAGGTCAGTATTTATTTTTTGAGTTTTGTACCTTTGAAATATAAACGTAACCTCGTGAAGTGTCTGGTTCATAGATCTAGGTTAATCTGTTCAGACGACTGCCTCAATGAGGAGCTTAAGATTATTAGAGAATTACTCAGAAAAAATGGCTATCCAGATAAATTCATTGAGAAAAATATAAATTCAGCTTCAAGGAGAGTCAGTATGGCCACAGTCCCGAAAAAACCAATGTTCATAAAATTGCAGTTCCTCGGTGACGACATCAGCGAATCAATAACACAGCGCCTGAAGAATGCAGTTAAAAGAACTTATTATGCAGCAGAGGTACGTTGTCTCTTCACAATCACCCCTATTCTATGTTTGAGAAATAAGGATAAACTACCTAAATTCGCCTCCTCTATGTGTATCTACCAGTTTGACTGCAGCCGCGGAGCCAGCTACATTGAGCGTACAATTAGGCAAGTTCATCGTCGTATTTCCAAACATCATCCAACGTGGTTAAGTAAGGGACAAAAAAGATCTATCCATAGCTCTATTTTAGCCCACCTCGTTGATACTGAGCATAAGATTGATGTTAATACAGCATTTAAAATTATTTATCGCATTCCAACTCATCTTAATTTTGCTTTGCGAGTTCGTCTTCTACAGACGGCTGAGGCGATTGGCATTCATCTGAAGAAGCCAAGCCTATGTGTACAGAAAAAATCTGTACAGCCACTTTCCCTACCGTGGCCATCGCCACAAGAATGGATAAACAGGACTGTGTCATCCCCCTCCCCCTAAACCTATAAAATTATATCCGTCTAAATTATTTATTTTATTTTATTTATTTTGACCACTTTATCTTTAATTTACGTGTTATTCTTGTAAAATTAATTTATTCTATCCATTTCCACCTTTTAAATCTGTATTGATTTTCTTCGTTAACTATTAACCCATTGACACTGTTTAATTATTGTTAACAAACTTATCGCCACTTGATTGGCAAACTGTTGTATTGTAATTAAAATGCTATATATATTAGAGTAGAGCCAAAGATGAGGATCTAATCGAAAAGTAAATATTTCTTCGCTCAATCTTTCTGTTTTCTAAATTCCATATTAGTTTGTTTATTAGATACATCACACAGTGAAACAGTATTATTTACTGGATGACGTTTCGAACAAAATTTATTGTTCATAACCATGTCGATTGTAATCATACAACTTTGAAGCTTGAATTTTATCATAACGCAAAACTCAAGCTTCAAAGTTTTGTGATTACAATCGATATGATGATGAACAATAACTTTTGTTCAAAACGTCATCCAGTAAATAATACTGTTTCACTGTGTGATGTATCTAATAAACAAACTAATATGGAATTACTTACTACCATGGTGCCCAAGTTTTACACATTTACTTAGACAAATTAATCAAAGACCATAGAAGATATATAGGACAAGCTCATCCAGCTTGGGACATTTATGCTGAATGACAGGCGAATTCAAATTCCGGGCAAGTTAAACATTACAACCTGAAAGCTTGCCTATGCACCTAGAAATCTAGGCCTATGGATCACTACATGTCAGTTACTAAAGGCGGTTGCAACATTGATATTCGAAGGAGTCACTGAATAAACGTGTTAAATATGAGCGTTCATGAAAAAGTGGAAAGACAAATAGCTATAAATTATGGTATGTATGAAAAAGTAGAAATATTAGATGACAGCACCTGATCATTTGGTAAGAGAAACAGGTTTAAGGTAGAGTCATTATTCTGTTTTCACCAGTTTGCTTACTGAATTCCCATACAGAGTTAACCGAAAATTTACCATTGTCACATGTCAAGAGAATGGAGGGTGGTCTTAATTATGAACATGTTTATTGTGACAACGTTAGTTGGCAAGCAAGGCAGGGAAGCGGAGTCGAAAAGACAGAATGATTCACTGAACAGAAACTTTCTACAGGGAATATAAACCTTGCTAAGAACGATGAAAAAGTAAACCTAACTAGCTCATGTATCTTAATCCAGGGGTAAACTTCAGTAATTATTCGTCCCCTGATCTCCCTCACTGAGGTGTAGGGCATTTTCAGTGATATAACGCTGAAAAATTCCTTGTTCACAACTTAAGAGATGACTAACATCCCGTAAACTATTCAACGTTATACCATTACCTCGAATTTTTCCTTTCAAAGTTTGGGGGAGGATTTGATAGATGTCCGCCAGAATAAACTAGAGAATATACAAAAACGACAAATCCTTTCACCAGAGATCAGAAAACGTATTAGGGATGCCAGACCCCGTAAAAATGTAGACTGTCATTTCCTGCCACTACAGGTGTTCTTGACGAAGAATGATCTTTAGGTTGACATGAACGCCTGAATTCCTTTCCTCCTTAGTGCCAAGAGAGAAGTGACCATCCCAAGAGTCATCAAGAGAAGGTGATCGAAAATACAACCATCTACTTTATGTACGGGGACTCAAGAGACCATCTTGATGAAAACTTCCCTAAAATAGATTACTCTTAATAAAATCATGATGTTCCATCCTTCAAACCATTCTCCATCGATTCAAAGCCCACGCAGAGAATGTCATGGTGCTGTAATTTTTTGTAGTAGTAGTATTAGTATTTCGAGATGACCGAATTACAAGAATTCAACCAAAGCACAGAGAGGGCGGAATTCAGGAATTTGTATTTAGCGGAATTATACTGCGATTGATATAAGAAACATGTTAACATTCAACGGTAAGTATTTAAACAATACAGAGATAGAAATTGTCAATCACCACACATGGTTCTGAAAGCTGGGTATAAATTTATTGCACCCACAAACTGCACAGGTTATGGTGCACGTATATAATTGTGAGGACTGCAACAACTTCTCTACTCAAGAGGTTTCAGCACAACTGTTTGAATATACCAAAAATATCAGTCCCAGTTCGCCATCTAGTGAAAGTCATCAATATGCAAAATCCTCCCTTCTGTGGCCTGCTTTGATTAGCTAAATCTAAAATTTAAAGGCTTTTATCACCGTAAAGCTTTATAATATACTCAGTTTACACAGAAGTATTTATCTCCCAGAAAGTAGCAGTCTTACAAGTGTCTTACTTAGCGAGTGAAAGTGTGCAGCTGAAAAAATAAACTTTCCGTATGACAAAACGCTGGGCGTTCAAAAAATAATAGGTAATTTATTAAGCCGGAGACTATTGTGTCTGTCCGTCAAATAAAGCGCTCTCGAAGGTTATATTCTCCTTTGTTTGAATAACCTAAGATATGTTGATATCGATTTGTCCCAGAAACGGTGAATAGTTTGATTGTACGCTTATGGTGGGTTAATCTTGCATTTGCTCTTAATTGTGGAAGTCATTAGCAACCAAAAGGCCGTCACAGCAGCCTTTGGGAAAGAAGAAAGGTGATGGCACTGGGAGAACGGTGAAACATGAACTTACAGAGGACCAAAAGCAGGAAATTCGAGAAGCATTTGACCTTTTTGACACTGATAAATCAGGGACGATAGATATCAAAGAGTTGAAAGTCGCTATGCGTGCACTCGGTTTTGAACCAAAGAAAGAAGAAGTAAGAAAGCTTTTGTCTGAATTTGAGTGTGATAATAAAGGTACCCTTTAATTAGTACATATATCTATTCTATATATAGACTCGATTGAATTTTCAGATTTTTTGAAAATGATGTCTTTGAAAATGCAAGACAAAGATGCAAAAGAAGAAATGCTAAAGGCCTTCAGACTTTTCGATGATGATGAAACCGGTAAAATATCTTTCAAGAACCTTAAGCGCGTAGCGAAAGAATTAGGTGAGAATCTCACGGATGAAGAATTACAGGTAAGTTGTACGAAAAAATGACACAAAGTTTAGGAAATGATTGATGAAGCTGATCGTGATGGTGATGGTGAAGTCAACGAGCAAGAATTTCTTCGGATTATGAAAAAAACAAGTCTATATTAAGCTCACTTTCTACTGCTGTACATATACGGTTATTTCCATAATATATTTTTATTAAACCACTTGCTATTATCCCTGCTTGTGGTCCGAAATACAATATTAGGATGAACTGGATAAGACTCCTTGGCTTTTTGTTCCATTTCACATAGACGTTCTATGGATGAGTAGGCGTGATAGTTAATCATTACTAATCACTTCCCACCGCGTAACTGTATTTATTGGTTGATAGCGCGAACAATGATTCCATATTCTCTTGATTTCAAGATCTGGTCACTTAGTTTTGAAAGCATTCATTTGCGACACTACAGCCTTTTGGCTTCTTACATTCCTGTTATATTAATTTGACACAATTGTTGTAGAATCTTTCGTTTATTTTTTGCAGTGAATATGGTTAATCTGAAGGTTAATCCACTTGTATTCCATGCTCCCATTAGTATAACTTCTTTGAAATGTTTCCGGAAATGTGAGAAAGTGACAAATACGGAATGTCTTATTTGTTGTACAGAATTTTCAGTCACTTGATTTCCTCGAGGTATTTTTTTAGACGTGTTTTGTGGAATGCAATCGTTTTGCTCAAGTTAGAGGAACTTATTGTAAAGTGTATATAACTCCCAAACAATTTTTATGTGTTTATTTCACTCGAAACAGCGACTAGCCACATTATTTAACTAGTGCTTCCTCTAGACTCATCGCTTGTCTTTCGGCTATTGCATCAGAAACTAGAAAAAAGCTGCTGAGTATAAAATCACTGAGCGTCTGTCAAATGCAGACCGCCTATTTCTTGTTCGTTCACACTTCATTTACTTCATATGTGAGAAGACAAATGTCTATAATAACTTCGTGCTGGTGGCATGGTTTGAAATAGTAAACTGATGAGGATATCTCATCATTGTCCATATTCTGAAATTCTGCACTAATCATTGTTTAGGCCTTTTGTTGTTCATACTCGTATTTATCCATCATTGTGCTTATGTTTTCTTTTTTTAATACAAACTATTTTCTAGGTGTGATAACTGAAACTGATTTTCCTTTCTCTGAGGTGATGTGGGATTTTAATTGCTTACATATTTATTAATAATTTCAGTTGGTACTGACAACATGGGGTTTGTGCGTAGCTATAATTAAAACGCAGGTGATTAGTCTTCAAACTTTATCTGTTTCTGAACTACAAAAATATTACATTGTCACAGTATCAAGAGATACCAAACGATTGCTCTTCAAAGAAACATAAACAATACTAAACAGAATTAACGTGTGAAATAGAATATCTAGTCTAAATCATGTCTGCAGGCAAATCGAGAGAACAAAATAATCAATACGTGTGGTTTAGCCCTAAGTGGGTTGGTGTTAACATGAGGGTTATTGACAAGTCACATGACAATCCACTTGTTACTCATTAGCTAACAGGAAGGAAGTAAAATTCTATCCTTGAGGTGATCACGCTAGTTACCTATCGTAATTAGTAGTCCATTATTGGCTCATGGGTCATCCGAGCTATCACCAGCTTATTGTTACTGCCTTCACTCTCCGGTTCATCAAAGTGGTCAGGCGTTTCCTTGGTTAGAAATATATAAGCAAATTAGCTCTGGAACTAACGCTGAAAGCCTTTTCTCCTCACCGGTGTCTTTAAATAGTAATTCAAGTTTATCTATTTGGGAACATCCTTCTGTAAAAGGTGTCTATGAAGGTGATTAGCGAAGTTAGCCACTTAGTGAAGAATTGACTTTGCAGTTGTTAAGACTTCAGGAAAATAATACAAGTAGATCTCTCTTGATTTTGCTATACCATATCATCATGGTGCACGAGTCCTGTAGACATCACTCTTTTAAGTACACGATATTCAAGGGAACAATGTACTCTTTTCTAAAGACTAGTGTAACTACGAAGTTTTTTGACATTCTTTCTTTGAATTAAAAAGGATTATAGAAGGTTGAGGCGTGACCGAGCTGCTTGAAATCTTATTGCTTTATGTATTTAATTTCTTTAAACTGGCGACCTGGACCTAGAAGTTATTTCTCAGCAAACCAAATTCGTCAATTTGTAAGTTTCATCACAAACTAACTTCAGTTTGAGGTCCAGGAAGCCAGGCAGTAATGGATAGCTGTCTCATCGTATTTTGGGACTTCTCATTAGTGCGCACACATAACCGCAAAGCGTAGCTTTCCGAAATCCTAATGGGAAATTGTGACCAATGGCGTTCATCAAGTTCTGTCTGTGTGGACAAATACTTGCTGACGATATAGGCTGGTGGTCACGCTATATATATATATATATATATATATATCCAGACGAGGAAACCCCCAGTTTTTGGATATTGCTTATATTTTTTAGACTTCATTAAGCAAGTGTTACTTAATATCTAAATTTTTAGTCTCATGGAACTCACATCTGTGGATAGGTTAAAGAGGTACTTAGTTTCACTATTCCTGTCAACCAAAGGAAAGTATCCGCACAAAAGGCAGATTAGATAAATCTAGTAACTGAAATTTTGAAGTGTTAATTCTTAGGGATTTAATTAACTTTCAGGTTGCGTTGAGTGTCACAGACTGATACCAGTTAGAGAATTTTTAAAAATAAAGGATTACCAAATACATGTTTCGTCCTTGTTTGTGACTCTTCAGGAATATACAACCATGATACCACTGGAGTTCACTTGATGCTTAATCTAATGCTTTTCATTCGGTTGTGTTCCATCTGCGCCGGTTGATTTATCTGTGAAGCTTACACTGTACTTCTAGACAATATCCTCAGAGCAGACTTTATTATTTTAGAGGCTGACGGTATTGATGTTCACTGATAGTACGAAGCATACTAACGCAAGATCTAATACCGACAAATTCTATAGTATTCGTTCCGAGTAGACCAAAGGCAAAACAAAACACCACAATTGACCATCCAAATTGCAAGATATATTTTGGGACCAAATCGGAGTACGAGATGATTGCTTAGCTGGCTAGTGATCGTGCACAAACGTGACATGACGGAGTACCAAATGGCTTCGATGCTTGACCGGAAGCCTTCAGCTAAACAAGTCGACTTAAACAGTGAGGGTCAGCATCCAATGTTCAACGATGAGTGCTGTGGTCAATAATTTCGGGGAATTATTTACCGCTACAGTATAAAATAAACTTATATGAATTCGGCATGAATGATGATATCATTGATTCTCCTGAAAACGATTGTCGTGACTGGTTTTAAATACATATCTTTATCGATCATTTTTATTGATTTCGGATTTTAACTCTCTTGTCATGTGATTTATTCTTTTATTAGTTGGTAAATTTGATCTATAGTAATGTGTTTGGTAATCTCTGAGTCATTTGACTGCTGACAGCTTTCTGGAAATTCCTTGGCATTTTCGGTGTTTCCTCTATTTAAAATTTTTACATTCTCCCAATCGAGTTGGTGTTGGTAATTATCGATATGCAAGAATAGGACGTGTCGTATGTTTTCGCAGTTAATTTATTCTCGTGGATTCAGATTCAAAGGGGATACCCACTTTGACCAATGTAGAGTTTATCACAGTTTCTTTTGTAAATGGTTTTGATCTTCTATTTTGGTTGAATCTTTCCGTCTGCCCAATAATGAATGAAGTGATTGTGTTGACTTATATGTTACGTATATTTCAAATGGTCTTAATAATCCTGTTGCTACTTCAGAGATATTCCTTATATGCGGTAGATTCGATTTTGTTGGTTTCTTTGAGAATGACTTCATTAGTGAGTGATTGAGTACAGGATGGACTTAATGGAGTTCTAATGGGGTTTGTTGACCAGTGTGTTTCATCGTCTTGGGTGTTGATGTCAAATATTAACCTACGAAATTAGATAGCGGCGGCGCAGAACATTCGAAAATCGGCAGAAGTTCGAATTCCTTTGGCTACTGAATTCCATCCCAATGGTTGAACAGTCTGTCCACATAATGTGACATGTGTTACGTATGCCTAGTCATCGCCTTCCTCGACAATGGGCAATGTTAGCTGATATAGGGTCAGGCTGGAAAAGAGCTAGCGGCAGTCAAACCAAAACATGGCACCAGTCAATGAAATCTACAACAGTTAGTCTAAGCCACGTAGGAAGGTGTAGATTGGCTTCCTGGTTGGGGTCCTCGGGACGGTAAAAACCAATGAAGGTTGGAAACAATTGGTGATATGGCTCAAAATCGTTCTCAGAGGCGCAGATACATCCACTCCTTGTAACTTATGATTTCCAATGAGACTGTTTTGTTCTTCGTTATTACTGTTCCTTTGACTCACACCTCTGTTTACTGTCTCTATTATGCTTTTCTTGTACTTTCTTCTCTTGCTTTGTGTGCTACATGAAAGGAGTGTGGCGACTTGAACTTCCGCACATTCGTGCAAAGTTCTATGTCGAAAACAGACAGACAGACAGTCAGTTCCATCTGTAGTTGGAATGTAAGCGTGTACTGATGAATACTCCCTAACTACGACGAATTAGCTATCCAGCACTAGCTGGTTTTGAATAGTTCTTCCACTGATATCGACTGTTACTGAAAGTGAACTCATAATATGAATAATATTATTGTTATAATAGGTAAGTAATCATTCTTCTCAAAAAACAAACTATCACCAACACTTGAATATCACCGCATGTACTTATCACCTCTTGAGGAAATCAGTTTTCACATAGTCTAATTCATGTGATGATAATGCTCATATTGTAATTGATCTAAAATTATATTCTTATTTTAAATGTAAAGAACAAGGTTTGATAGTAGGCTTCCAAAGAGAATTTCTTGTAGAATTTTGAATAGGTAACCAAATCTGTGATACCTCTGTGAGGTACTCATTGTACTATTGATTAGTTAAACTATGTCAGCCTTACTCAATGTAATATATATTTATAATTACCCGAGCAATCAGTAGAATACCTAACTTGTAAGTATTGATGACAAAACGCAAATCAAAAAGACTCAGTGTAGCGAGTGCTACTGATAAAATTTGTTAGTAGTATATAAAGAGACGTCCATCAGCATAAAAATATCTCATAGCAGGGAGATAGATTTAGTGTGAGAGAAGGCAAAGGATATAGCATTGTGGAGATATATGGGAGACGTGAAACGAACTCAAAGAAACATAACAGGAAATTCTGAAGCACCACAACACGAAGATAGGTGCAAATAGTGCGTTGAACATAAGGTAAACATAATTTGGCTATAAAGAGATACAAATTTTAAGTACAAAATCCTTCCA